AGATAAGAAACTCTACTAAGGGGTTTTTAATTTCACATCGCGTAAATTTTTAATCAGCAAAGCCTTAGCACAGCGCATATCCGTACTACTGCCAGTGATGACGAAGACCACAAAATGTGTTCATATTCCGTGGAAAATAAAATCTCCGCTGAACAAACTCTACCTTATGTGAGAAAAGATTTGGGTTAATACTCTAAGTTTGGTAACTGGAAAATTCCCATTTAAGTTTTAAGAACTAGGGAAGGAAGGTAAACCATTGTTTTCGCTTATTCGTCCTCAGACATGTAAGACTATATGAGTGAAGTAGCAATGCGCGTAACAGTAGATTCGATCAGTTCAAAGGAGCTTAGATCACGTGCCGAGTAGGGGGCATAAACCAGCAAAAAAACATAAGTGATAAGCATCAACAATGGCAAAGGTGAAGTGCAACCATTATAAATGACCACAGAATCATCCACGTTATGTGTTCACAGTGACTTAAAAGTTTCGAGCATTTTCATTTGTGAAAATAGAAGCCGATGACACAACCGAGTACTAATCGCCTCGGCTGTAGCAAGGCTGCGGAAGCGCAGACCTTTCGATGGAGTGCAGAGACTTTTTATAGTATTCCAAAAGCAGAGATAAGGTCAACCTCACGCCCATTATCTGCAGTATGATCCATAACAAAGCTAGTTATAGTCCCGGTACCGCACCGACGTATCCAGCGTTGAAGGTGCTCCTTGGTGCGCTTTGACAGGTGCCATGCCGTTAGTTTGATGTAAGTGGCGTTATAGTGCGATGATCGTGCGCTATATATCCGGTACGAGACTAGACGGCCAACCAAAAGCAATGGTAGAACACACATAATTAAGCTAGGGAAAAAGTTTATTGGACGGGAGGAGAGTTAGCTAATGCAAAAAATACGGCACCAGATGAGAGCTACCTAGGGAGAATGTAGTTGGCGGCGATTGCGCTGACAGGGTGTCGTTCGCAGTCGAGGCGCGCTCCAAAGGCAGAGATCGTGTTCGTGTTTCCAACAAACAGGTTCAACGTTCCAACAGGCAAACCGAATAGTTCCCTAATACATAAGAAAGCTATAGTTTGAATATTTTAGAATAGTTTACACAGTCATACGGGGGAATCTCCAGGTCGCTACACAGCCCTCCATCCTAGAAGGAAAATCATGGGTGACTCTTCGAAATACGTGAGGACTGTCCGTCGCGGGCCAGCCTTCTGCGAGACCAGGTAGTGAAACCTGATGCAGCTGCTGGGGGAGAACCAGGCGATCGGACCCTAGCGGGCTCCCCGCCGTGTCCTCCCTAACGGTGCCAAAAACACAAAATGGGGGAAGTTCGTAAGCGTCAAATGTTTGCGAGTTGTTGAAGGTCAAATGTTCGTTTCAGGCTCGTCATCTCCTCCGGTTCATACATGGAAGCTAAACGGAAACAAGAGCAGTGACGGTGGAGGCGAGGGCAAAAGCAAGAGGGACACTTACCGGATGAGGTAGGCGTCAAGCGAAACGCAACTCCATCTATGTGTTTTCAAAACGTTTTCCTCTTTTTTGGGGTTGTCAAAATGTTTTGCGTCTTTTGGGTCTTCAGGAAAAAGGTCTTTGTCGTATTTTGTCGTTTTCAACAGCTTTTGCCGATTTTTTGAGGTTTTCTTACCTTGGTTGCCAAAAGGCAAAAAGTAAGCAATAAGGAAAGTGAAAGAAACACTAATCCCTTAATCGCGCTGGCCTATGAACGCGTCTACCCGACCTAGTCGACTTGTGCGGATCAGAGGAAGCCGTCGTCTTAGACGTCCTATCGGATCGCAAAATTGGAGGAACTGCTGAAGACATGGCAGTTGATTCGATGGGAAGCGGCGGAGCTGAAGTGGAAGGTTTGAATGTAGGGTGATGCTTAAGGTTAGAGATGTTGGAAGCAGGCGAGTCTTCCATCATAGACTGGGTTGATTCGTCAGAAGACGCGCAAGGGTCTTCATCGAGCTCAGGTTCCACGTGGGCAACCTTGAGACGGTCAACCGTAACGGCTTCTCGTTTACCGTAACGATCGATGATAGAGACGCGGTTCTTACGCTGCAGAATCTTGAAAGGACCTTCGTAAGGTCGCTCCAGTGGTCTGCGGAGACCATCTAGGCGGAGAAAAACGAACGGACAACGCTGTAGGTCTTGTGGAACAAAAGATTTACGTCGTTGTTCTCTAACATCGGGAAGCTTGTAGTAACGCATGCTCGTGGCTAGTTGACGTGCATAATTCGCGTCGTGACAGGGAATTCTGGGAGTATCAGAAAAGAAATCGCCAGGTAAACGCAGTGGTTGTCCATATACTAACTCGGCGCTGGACGTAAGTAGATCGGCCTCAGGCGCAATGAAACTGATAAATGACCATAGAAGCGGTCAGGATCGATAACTCCATGGTTGTGTATACAAATCAGAGGCTCCGTTGAGCAACTGCACGAGATTAGATGATGGGAAAGTTGATTTAACAGCAGTTGAAAGGCTTCTGGATCTGTGTTCAGCAGTTACATCCCTCTTGAAAGGCAGTCTTAAGAAAAGTAATTTGTTCTCAACGGGCAGAATCTGCATCGGGTCCAGCTTGCCTTAAATGTTCTTAAGAATGAAACGGCCAAAATATCCGTTTTCGCGCAACACATTTGGTATGAACACGAGCTAATTTTCCAACGTGTCTTCAGAACAGATCCAGCTGGCCCTTGTGGTTCGACAGCGAATGAGGATTTGCTTGCATCTCAAAGAAACGAAACCACGTATTTTTTCCTGTAGACCTGTCGTTGCATTGAGCCATCTGCCCTTCCAGTTAACAAGGCATCACGGAAGGGCAATTGATTGCTCATTTCTTTCTCGCAGGTGAACAGCAATGCTGCGTGGGCCTGATTAAAGCTGTCGGTAACAGCGTCAAGGTCAATGAACTGATCGGCCACAACAAATATGTCATCGTACTGATGAACCATGAGGATGTTGGTATAGTTCAGCGAATTCATCATTACAGCTCTCAATCAGCAAGCCTAGGTTAGTCTGGAAAAGCATCAGATGTCGGCTTGTCGACATTCTGGGTTTCGTCAGTGGTGCGCCTTCCAGTGGAGCCCTACCGGGTTCCGCCCCCATGAGTTCCGGATGCCAGCTGCTAGTGCCACTTCCCCATGGGTGACAGCCGCGGAGCTGCGTGATTGACAGTTGACTATAACTCTGCGAATATTGCACTGCCATGCCAACTACGAACTGTGCAGAGGGCAGTGGCTAGCCTCACGTGTTAGGAAGTTCCGCATAGCACCACGGCAAGGCACGACGACTTGAAAGCTATACGGACAGATGTGTTAGATATTACTGATGCGTAGTGAGGATTTTGGTATATTTCAGTTAATTCTTCATTGCCACTCTCAATCAGCAGGCTTAGGCTAGTCTGGAAACTGGCATGGCAGTAGAAGATAAGCTGGGCTATATCATGGTCAACTGTCAATCACACAGGTCCGCGGCTGTCGCCCATGGCGAAGTAACACTAGTTGCCGGCATCCAGAAGTCATGGGGGCGGAACCCGGCATGAGTCCGTTGGGAGGCGTACCACCGACGAGGTCCAGAATATCGAAGCACCGGCGTCTGATGCTTTTCCAGACTACCCTAGACTTGCTGATTGAGAGTGATAGTGATGGATTAGCTGAAATATGACATCCCTATAGTGATGGTAGCATTCAAAGACGGTGATATCAGCAAGTAGTTTAGTATTCTCTAATTTCACCATGAAGTCAAAGTCCGACTGCGGACCTACCGGTGATCCCATAGCTACGGCATCATTTTACGGTACTAAGTACCATTGAATTGGGACTGTACGTTCCAAGTGCAACGCAAAAGTGAGGCTTTTCAAGTCATACAGTGGGATACATATCATTGTTTACACTTTCCTTATGTAGACAAGTTTGCTTGAAGCGACCATAAACTATTGTTCTTGTTAGCTGACCTAGCTACTTCAAAAATCAACCATTCTGGAGTTGAACTTTATGTATTCCCTATATCGTTTGCAAACTTTTACCGTTTCGATCGTTGTTTCCACAACAAGCTTTAGTATCAAGTATGTTTAGTTTAAATTTGCCTTGCATTAGAAACTTTCTGAGAAAGAGATCACGTTCGCTCGCAATAGCATATAAAGCAGAGGATCGAAAATGGTAACATTCTACCAGTCTGTCAGCTAAATGACATTAATAAATAGTTGTACTAAAGCTTCCGTTATGCAAAACATTTAACAGCTTTTAACGAGTACACCAGCAGTTTACTGCACTTATATGCCATAGAACCACAAACCTCACGAAATCCTTGTTATTCTAGATTACTTCTTAAGTTACCTTTCTGTTTTTGACCGTAACTTTAAGTGTTAGCTATCGGAGCTTAGCATATATGCCAATTAGGTTATATGCAGACATATGCATATAAATCTTTCACTTTGGCAAGTGTACTCATTCCCCAAATATCATTTTTGCTATTTTTCTTCCATTGCAGCGGAGGTCATTTTGGTTCCGTACACAAATTTCTGCTCTCTTGCTTACACGCATATAGAACCACGTCCTGAGTAATATAAAATTTTGAGCAATGACAAAATTCGGGGCATTTTACGCTTTTATACAGGGATATAATTCCTTTCTGCTCGAGTTCTTACCTTGTAATTTGCACGCGGCGAATTGGTGGAACGCTGCCGGTCTAACAGTGTTATCCACACGTAGGGGAACGATTAGTGCCACCAATAGTGACCCCAGTGTGTTTATACAACATAACCACATTTGCATTTCCGTCTTTCGACTGCCACTGAAGCGCGAATGAACGGTATATCTAAAAGACAGCAAAAGCTTCTTGCCTCAATACGCAGTATACAACGGGGGTGACATAATTTCCGTGACGTGTTTTCTCCGAATAACACCAACTCATAAACTTCAACCCACTTTGACACCTTGAACGCATTCCATTACATGGACCGACCTCACAAACACGGATTCGTTTCTTTTCGCATATGCAGCTGGAGACCCGGAACCCTGCCTGAAGCAATATTATGTATCGATTAGACGGGATATCTATGAGTTAGGTGAGTATCACATTTGAATTTACTTACTTTAGACAATTTGAGGGTAACATTACGCTGCTGTTATTTCGATTCGCTACTCTGGGCTTACTCTGATTGGTTGAACTACACTTAATGCTGATTGGCCGACTGGGTGACTTTTAACGTCCCCTACTGAGCGGTCGTAGGTTTTACGTTGCCTATTGAAATCAATTTGCGATATCTGCGTTTTTCTGTTACAATACTTGGCATAGCGAGTACCGCCACGAAACTTTCAATTTAGAGCCAGACGTCTGGTTCCGCTGGGAAATTTCCTTCAAGCATTATTTGAAGTTAAGTACCGATTTAGTTACCAATCAATGTAAATAAATAAATAAATAAATATTTATTCTCGACTATGCGAGGCACGCCAATTGAGGCATGATCAGGTATGTACAGCTGTACAGACATTTTATGGGAACTGTAGTGTCAGTAGAAAATTGTTCATATGTCCACGCTTGGGACTGTGCGATGGTGAACATGCGAAAGAACGATTGGGTTGTAGTGGGATCGGGATCCATTTGTTTGGACATAATCGCTCTGCCACATATCGCAGTCATACTTCGAGTAATTATAGATAAATCCTGAGGGATCCATTGGAAGATAATTGAAGAGCAAGCTATCCAGTATGGTGATTCTAATTGAGCTGCCAGTGTGAAGTTATGGGCTGTGACTTTATTCGGTGGCGAGTCACATTCGCCACGTTGCAGTGTTGTTAAACGGACATTTGTGGCTTTTTATAGGGACAACGCTTGCCAGGCGAAAACCCACCACGTCCTGAAACACTGCCGCCAATCCATTGGATGGCAAGTTGTAACTGGCTATGTTTCTTGTTGAACGTTCTTTTGCTCCGTTATTCGCAGTCAAGTTGCGTCCCATTTTTCTGCTGACTGATGCGCTATGCGAGTGGCCATTGCGTGCCTGGGTCCTCTCCTGTTCCAGATCGGTAGGTCAGGAACTAAGCATTCTTTCTGGATATGATGTGTTGGTCATCTGCAGAACCACGTGAAGCCTCGAAGAATATACGTTGAAATATGTTGAAGTCTAGGAGGACAGGATAGGTTCCGAAGAAAGAATCGCAGATCCCCCGGGGTATGTAGTGAAATTGATTAGAGATTGTGGTAACCACGGCCATTTGAGCGGTCAAAGCGGATTGAAGAGCTTAGAATGACCGATTGTTCAAGCTTTGTATTGGCAGGAGAATGTGCCTTCCGTAGTCGAAAGTCCTCCAGTCAAGAGATATGTGAAAGAGGCATTGTTAGATAAATTGGACTCAGTGGTTCATGCCGCGGAAGAATTGATTGATTTGTCCGGTTAGTAAGTTGTAAAAAAGTTGATAATTTTCCGCTCATGTCCAGGTAGAGGAACTGTGTGCCTTGTATTGTTGTCGAAACGGATGACAATTCCTTGGGTGCGTGTCGCCGTACCTGTGACAGACTCGGAAACTAACTTAAAGCTGTTTCGCCATTTGCCCGGAGATGGAAGGCAGAAGCAGTTTGATGAGTTATACCTCCAAGGAGGCTAATTTATTCACTTGGTTATCTCGGCACATCATCACGACTCGTCATGAAATTCCTTAGTCCAATTCGTGGCTCAACTTTGGTAGAGCACCCAAGGCCAGTGTTACGCTACTCATATTCTCGTTTATGTTCTCTTAGTTATAGCCTTAAATATGATCAAGAGGGCTAGCACCCACTGGAATCGTTTTATTGAGGAAGCGCAGGAAACCTTGATTAGCATACGAGGCTCGGTTGTGACAGCAAAATATCCGTCATCTGCGTGGCATTAGGAGATACGTCGTGCTATATCCTAGTTAGCTTTCAAATTACGTAGCCCAACCACCATCCCCCATGGCTCAGTGGCTTGAGCTGCTGGCTAGTTGGCACCAGTCTGCAGAGGTCATGGGTTCGATCCCCAGTAGCGGACCGAAGGAATGCGAAACACTGACGGGCTCCAATAAGGTGGAACGCGTCTGGTGTCTTTCCGGATTATGATTGAACTACGTAGCTTGTGAGCTGCTGGGACGAATGCGTTAAAAGTGCACTTAAATCATCCTACTAATAAGTAGTGCCATAAGTTGTTAAGACCGACAGCACCGGATTGATCAAACGTTTCGGGTTGCCATCCATATCTTTTGTCATAAGTCCCGCTGACTACCAGAATCCCGATAAATTTTCACCTGCAGTTCTGCCGAAGTTAGAGGACTGAGTGGAGTTGGGGACCTTGCCGATCGTAGTTCGCGGAGGCGGTGGGGTAAATAACGCACTATTCATTTGTTTAGAGTCTACTGTGCTCTCCTGGTGCCTACTCGCTTCCCAGAAAGCAATCTCAACATTCATCCGCTGTCCGGCTTCTCATTATCATCAATGTGTAGGTTAGTTGGAGGTGGAAAAGACCTCAGCTACTGTGCCGCAATACATAAAAGACACAAGAAAATAGATACAACATTTGCATGCCAGCTGAGCTACCAGTCTCGGATAAGCATCGTTCCAGCAAGCTACCTGCCGGCTACTAGGCAACAAAAATTGTCATGTAAACTTATATTATGCTAAAAAACAGATCGGCATTAGAGTGGGAGGCTAAGAGGGATGGGACGAACAAAGCAACCCACAACACGAACGCCATTGAGGTCGTTTCCTAGCCATGTTAGCAAGTGTATCCAGCCAAAAGTGTCGATCGTCTTTCGGACCTCAATCAGGGAGCCGTGACGCTCCAACCGAGGTCAGCTCTGAAGTGAAGGCCTCCACTTCTCTCGAACAAGTCATCGCTTGTCCACCTCTCATCTTCTTCCATCCACATCCCCGGTGCGCAGACAACGCTCGTCGCGGGAGTAGATTGGCTGGTATGCGTTACACGTGACCGAGCCATCGGAACCTGGTGCATGAAATAACGGTGCTGAGCGATTCTTTTCCTTTTCCAATGCCGTAAACAAGGTGTCGAACCCGCTCGTTTCTTACTCGGTGTTCCCACCAGATGTGAGCCAAACTGCCAAGGCACCAGTGGTAGAACGTAATTATTCTCTTTAGGTCGGCTGATCTAAGGGGTCAGCCTTCACAACCGTACTGTAGGGTCGAACGTACGCGCGCACTGTACACTCCAACTTTCAGGGCGAGGGTAATGTCGCGTCGGTGCCAGAGGTGGCGAAGATTAGCAAAAGCACCTCGAGCTTTAGCTATGCTTTTCGTGATCTCATCTTCGATCTCAAGGGCACTGATGCAACTTCGCAGTTAGTTGAATTTCTAAACGACTTCTAGCTGATCCTCACTAAGGGTCAGCGAAGGAGGCGGTCCAGGCCAATTTTGGAGGAACGCTTTGCACTTTGATAGTGAAAAGCAAAGCCCGAAACCGCTGAGAGTCAGTGCTAATCTGTCTAGAGCAGCTTGGCACGTCTGGGATCTGTCACAGAATTGGGCAACATTGTCTGCGTACTCCAAATCAAGAAGTCGTTCTCCAGGAAGCAGATCTACACCTTCTAAGCCATGTCCTGTGAACGCGATGCCCATGTCTTCGTCAATAACGAAGTTGAAGAGGAAAGGTGGCAGCGGGCATCCTTGTCTCACACCGTTGAAAATATTGAGGGGCGGCGACAGCTTGAAGTAAGCGCGTATAGCGCTCGGATAATAGTTACATATTTCACAGGTACACCTGTCCTGAGTAGACAGTCCCAAAGTGCACCTCTATCCACCGAATCGAATTCAACTTTGATATCGAGGAACACGACAACGGTGGGCCGCCAATATGTGTGACGATGCTCCAACAACAGACGCAAAGTGAAGATGTGGTCTATGCAATCACGACTGAGAGGAAACCCAGCTTTCTCTTCACGTATAAGGCTTTAACGAGCGCCAGTTCATCTGTGAAGGATTACAGAGGCAAGTAATTTGGAGACAATGGGTATCAGACTGATTCCTCTATGGTTCCTGCATTCCGAACGCGAGCTTCCTTTGAAGTTGGGAACAATAACGGAGTGGCTCCGGTCGGTTGGGACAGTTTCCTGCTCCCACAGTTTCACTAATAACTCTTATAAATCGTCTGCAATAGCAGGTCCCCCGAATGTGAAAAAGGCTGGATGAGATCTTCTGGTCCCGCGGCTTTGTTTAACTTTAACAGTGCGACCTCACGTTCGATTTCCTAGTGAGAGGGCGGGTCCAAAGGGACAGTCAAGGGTGCAGAGCGATCACTGGCCGGTGGGGATATTTAACAATTCAGACTGAATAAATTGCTCAAGTTGTGTATAGGCTTTTCACTCTCATTGTTCTCCCGCCTAGACGTGGGCAACCTGACAGTATTCTGCCAACGCAATACAATGAACTTTTCCACGAACAACTTCTTGATTGTTTGGCCGTCGCAGAGGATAATCAACGGCGTCCTATCTGCTGCATCCAGCAGGGTGGATGGTGGTATGGGTGCTACTACTCAGGACTTCCGGTTTTCTTATCCCTCTCCTTGCACTTTTTCATCCGAATCGTCCCGCTCCAACTTTACTTTTATCCCCCATTTACAATCCCACAATTATTGGACCTCCCCACCTTGCTTCAATAGTCGCTTGTCTTCCAGTTTCAACTCACACACAGTAGCAGAGCGTCGCTCCAATTCAGTCGACAAGTCCATGTGTAAGCAACCGGATAACGTCAGTTCATCCGTTTCCCTTTGGCGTCGGTTGGTGCATCCCAACGGCCTGGCTGGGGTCCTAAGAACGATGAACACGTTTGGTTGGACACACTTGCTGATATGGCTAGGAGCCGGCCCCAGTGGCGTTTGTGTTGTGAGTTCCTTTGTCCACCCTCTCCAATCACGATCGCATTCGTTAGGCATAACATAACTTGTTGTGGCACGATAGCCGGCTGTTAGCTCTCCGGAACGATGTCCATCCGTTACTGGGGACTCAGCCGGCGTGCCACTGTTCCTTTTCCTTCTTGTCCCTTGTATTGCGGCACAATAGCTGAGGTGTTTTCCAGCTGCAGCTAAGTGTATAATGATGATGATGTTTCACTAACACCAGGACTCCTGCTGCCCGCTTCCAGTATCAGACAGAATAACTGTCGATGGTTACCAAGGTCAGTGGCGATTTCCAGCTCTGACGCACGAAGAGACCACCAGGATTCGCGGTCTCTCTTCAGGGTAGAACGGAGTCTTGCCTGGAGCTCTTTGCGAGTTTCATCGTGCTCGCTTCCAGTAGGAATGTGGCGGCGAGTATCCATAAGGTCCAGCGACTGCAAAAAGACCCAATGTCCATGTTGGCGATTAGACATACCACATGAGGATTTACCAGCTGCAGGTATGGTGAACATGAGATCAGTGAACTTCACTTGTATCCAGTGAGCGTTTATTTAACTCGCGTGACAGCGTACTTTGATAGACATTCAGAACAGCTAGCTTCACCAGTTGGCTGGAGTTAATGCGCTCACAACGTCGTCGTGGGCGTCCGCCAAAACTCATCCGTATGTCAGCACATACAAGTGCATGGTCGGTGTCCACACCTGTGCTCCAAATCGAGTGACAGTTCTGGACGCAGCCTCTCCATCAGTAACCTATCGCAATGTGATCAATTTGCGTCCATAGCTGATTCGAGGCTGGTGGGCGCCAAGTCACCCTCCGGTGGGTGCTGCGTCGGAGGTTAGTGCTCGCAAGAAATAAGCGAACATCTTCACAAAATGAAGTGACCGCTCACCGTTATCATTACGGAAGCCTACATCATGTTGGCCGTCCAGATGCTGTTCGTCAGTGGATAATTTTCCAAATTGAGTGTTCACATCCCCAGCCAGCACAACAGTGTCCGAGCTTCTTCTGTGGCTAAGGAGCTCGTTCAATTGACGATAGAAGTCGTCTGTTACCGAAGCATCGCTACAGCTTGTGGGTGCATAGGCAGCGATGACGAATAGATACCTGTTAGTCTCGCGTGACTTCGAAGCTTTGAACGAGCCAGCCAGCCGGAAAGCACACATCCGACTACTGATTGGAACCCAATCAACCAAAGCGGTTTTAGTACAGGGGCTCTGGTCAATGCCAACATTAGCTTGGCCGATGCTCGAAGCTACAACGTCACCGGATAGATGCAATGGGAATATACTGCTGGTGTCACCTGAAGGGGATCGCAGAGTGAGCACGAGCTCGAGGCTTGCAGGTGGGTCTCCGATAAGCAGCAGATATCGATGGAGAGAGTCTCTAATGTTCGGACAAGTGTTGCCATTTGACCAATCTGTCGCAATATGCGTACATGGCGGCATGCTAATCTGAAGGAGGATCGTGGGCTCCAAATGGAAGAAGACGAAGTGGCGTGAAACGTTAGCTTGGACATGGGCTTGTCAAGAGGATAGGAGTGGCGCTTCGCGTTTGCATGTGAACAGGAACGATAAGATAAAAAGCCTAGCGAAGCAAGGTGGGGAGGGCTAAGAGTTGGGGGGGGGGAGGTTGAAAACAAGGGGGATAAAAGTGAAGCTGGAACTGGACAGTAAGAGAGAAATGTGTAAGAGGGGGAATAAGAAGGCGAGATGGCTTGAGCAGTAACGCCCAAACCCCAATCCATCCTGCCCTATCCAGTAGATAGGGCATTTTGCTTACCTCCTGCGAGGACCAGAGCATGGAGAAAGTGTTTAAGGTAGGTTCTATAATATTGCGTGGGCAGGATACTGTCAGACTGCCAAAGCCTATACAGGAGAACGGTTAGGGTTCTCAACCAAGGCCTTTGGTTCAGAAACCTGACCGCAAGGTAGGGGGTTTGGTGTTGGGCTACAAGGAGTTCGTTTTAAGGAATAAGAAGCCACCCTCACTCCAACCCCTAACCTGGAGGGTCAGGAGACTGAGTTTGTCTGACCTTTAACCATTGACCAATCTGGTATGAGCGGCTCCGAAGGTGCAAAATAGCACCACCCAGCATAGCTCAGTGGATCTCTGAGGCACGCAAACCATCGCACCACGGTAAGGTCCAGCCTCATTGCTGATCGTACTTCCGCATTAAGACAAGAATACACTTGACGTTTGGATTTGCGCACACGAGATACAAGACCAAAGGACGTGTGGTGTGCTGTTTCACTCTTACGTCTCTTTGGAATAAATGTGCCCATTTTACGTGAGTCCATTTGGAATACGCGAGCACGAAATGATTTCATCTGTAAACATCCATCATTCATTGCATTGTTTAGAATGATACAAGAAACACAGTGCTTCAAGTTAACCATAGATTAACTACATTTTCCTGACCTACAGGTGCTTTTTGCCTGAAGCCTATTTAGATCCAGCTATACTAGATTTCCGCTACTGAGCATGGCGTCATTACCTGACCCCTTGAGGCGGTTGATGTTTTTTTCATTCCCGAATGGTCGGTTGTGCACACCGGCCGGACGAGCGATTCGTTTAAAAGAGACACGTAGGTGCAGAACTAGCGGTCGGTGCGTCTACGCTAGACGGTGGGATGTGTTACGCGCAGGTGCACTAGCAGGCAGGTCACATAGGATGGCCGGTGTCTTTTGGGGCTATCGATCAAATCCGTTGAAATGCTGAGTGAGCGAAATGTACTGCAACTGTGAGACAGGTATTTGAAACGGTGTTTATAAAATCACGACTTCCCGTTTGCTTGATCGCCTTAGGAAAGCGATTGTTAACGAGCGTAAGAAATCCAAGAGGTGTTTGCAAAATGAGATAGTTGCGTGCGCGAGTTTCAGCAACAAACTTGTCACATGCTCAAGCGTGGATTAGATGCTTAGGTGAGAAAACTAATCTATAAAATAACTATACATCTTTTAGAGCCAATAACTTCGTGTCGAATGAGTGTGATCTCAATGGCTGTGTCAAAATACATGGAATAAATCCACTAAAGGCGGGTGTACCAAAAAAAGCCAAATATTGACCGGATATCATGATAAGCTTACACATCCACAACCATAGTCTGACAACATAAGTGTGGAATCACGGCATGCAACCCTTGTTATTTAATGGTTTGGTCGTCGCCTATGTTTGTGAGAATAGGTTAAGAGTTAATCGATACAACTAGCTAATTTCGCATTTACTGTATGTAACCTGTTCCACATAAATGCATGAGTCTGACGAGTGTGTTCGAGAAGGATCTCACGCTCAATACCCGCAGTGCTTGTCGGGTTTGCGGTACTTGTTCTCTAGCACGCTGGAATTGTCCACACCTTGCAACAGGTTCCGGGGAATTTTCAATACGCTATGCTTGGTGACCTATAACCATGTTCACGATGCATCTTACCAAAGGTATTTTTTTACCTTTTAGTTAAATGGTCGCTCAATTGGAGATACACGGCGTTCGCAGTGCAATTTTGTGGTTCCGACTGTAAGTCCTGGTTGATTTCAGAGCGTTGACTTACATTCCACATTATCTTCTCTGTAGTAATAACATTTATGGCGCTACTATGAATAAAAAGTTTCACAATATCCAAAATTCAAGAGAATTAACAGAAGTTTGTATTGGTTTATAAATTTCTGTAGATACAGTGTGAACAAAAGGTGAAGGTTTCAAGAAAAAGTGACACCTATTATTGGATTCACCGCGATTTCACCTGTACATACAATGTGGTTGTTATCCCGTGTCGCTGTAATTTGGGTTAAAGCACGTGATTTATGTGTTGTAATGCATCATTAAGTTAAAGCTTGAGAGCAACTAACGCTGGAGCGATGATGACAGAATGCGTAAGTTCCACGGCTGAGATACACGACTGGAGAGAATGTTTCACCGGCAATCCAATCGGCTATACGGTGTCCACAATTTCAAGTGGTGCTCTCTCCAGTGATGCGGTGTTGCCGTGTTTCAAAAAGTGTTGGGTTTGCTTTCTACCAGCTACTGCTACTTAACTGCTATCAATCCCACACTGAAGATACCACCACGAATGGTGGCGAAACGTTTGCAAACAAATTGCCCAGCTCGGAGAATTTCACAACCACTGAAGTGTCGGTATGTGAGGTTAGGATCCTTGCGAATTTGATACACAAATATAAGCTCACCTCGCAGACCAAGCCATTGTCCACTGAAAACTTAGAATCTTTAGTCCAAGCTGGTAAGGAAGGTGGAGCAATCTCTTAAAATATTTTGTTGACCTCTATTGTGGATTCTTAAGAAAAGCAATGTCATGTTCACACCAGCGGTCACACCTGGATGGCATGTTCTACATGGGGCATCCAATGGGCGTTTTGCAGTTGCGAAAATTGGTAAGATAAAACTGGCCAACCGCTCTCCTCACTAGGCTCAAGTATTGGTTACATATTTGTACTGCTTTCTCAACCTGTTCTGAGCATCTCAGATCGTCCTGCACGAGCACGCTCGAAGAGAAGGGCGTTGTAGGACGTGTTCTCCCAGTTGATAGTCGTGTGTGCTCTCATGCCGCATGCTCATTATTTTGCACTTGACTGGGTTAATCTCAAGTATGTTCTGAGCCAACCACTCGTAAGTCGTGTTGAGATTGTCTTGCCGTGCTATGTAGCCGTCTAATCTCTTGATTACCCGTGAATTCTTGAGATTGTCCGCAAAAACAGAACCTTGGGTATCAGCACTCCCTCGAGGTCGTTTATGAACACTATGAATAGCCGTGATCCTAGTACCGAGCTTTGCTTGACGTCACAGTTAACCTCTATCGGGTCGGACAGGGTGTCACGAACCTGCACAAATCCTTTCTGTTACTTGGTATACTTGTGTGTAACCAATAGAGTAGTGACAAATGTGGAGCGGAAAGTTTACCCGACTTTGCTCAGTTCTCGAGTTTTGAATAGGGCTGAGGGTTTGCACACAGCCGTCTGTACATTTAGTTTGCTCGTGTATTGAATGACATAGGTAACCTTTTCTGATCTGTCAATAACGCCGCTGCAATCTTTGTTGTTCTTGACTAGATAGGACTGGATAACTGTAGGGCAATCTTAATAAAAGAGTCAAAGAGAGGGCATAAAGTTGACAAAACGACAAGAGCATAGCCCACGCAGCTGCACGATTAGGCGATGTGACGACCCCGGTAATGGACAATTAGACGGTGAAAATTTAGCCTATATTATGCGAAAAGAATTTGTATGTTGAAAACTGGGCAATAAAGCGAGATGGACTATAAACCAGGTGGGCGGTAATAATAACAGTAATAATAATGTGTCAGCCTTGACCGCGCTTCGCCGCCGCGTGACCTCCACCAGTCGCTCGCGGGCTAAGTATACCGCGAAGACGCCCACCCTTACGCGGAGTCGAACTGGCGACCTTATGGTTGCAAACCAGACATGTAGACCATTTGGCCACCGGGTAAGTAGTAGGAGGGGTTTGACTACAGTACGTATATCGGCCCTTAGCCAAGAAGCCAGAGGGCAGCATGCAGATGGGGACAGTGTACTCAACATTTGACGTGATACAAGTTACCAGATGTGTGTGTGCACCTGCGTGCATGCGTGTGCGCAAAGAACCAGAATAACAGAGCGTAGTCAGCGAACTTAGGCAAACACGTGGTCCGTTTCTAAAGTAAGACATACCGGTTTCACTGTGCCTGTTCTTTCTCGACCATTTGCAGGTTCGGTGTTGAACGCCTTTATGTGTAGTTCTGAGGGGAGCTCCTTACACCCCTTGCACCGTTTCACCTGGGTTTTCTGCCATGTGTTTGGAAGGCAACAAAACTTTCATCCCATAGGGACCACAAATTTTGTGCTTTGATGAGGAGGGTAGTCTTACAATTAATTTGGCAATCACGTTTATGTTGAATTAGAGTGTCTGACGAATCTAGCGTCATTCCTTCCAATCGTGTGCTTCGGTACTGCATTCATCGGAGGTTTTGAGCTTCGGTACACCATGGAAATGGATAGGCTTTTCGTTGTTCAGCTGGTAGCAAATATTAGAATTCCATTTTCTGTGTAACGCCCCCTCTAAGTAACGTATGGGAAAAGATGAACGCCGCTGAGTCATTCCGAAGTCGAATGATGACAAAAGAACCGCGTCAACGTGGTTTCCTGATTGCAGCGTCACCCGTAGCAGCCGTAGTTAGCCGATGCGCACAGTGCTAGCCCGATTAGCATGGACATCTGTTAGTAGACTTATGGATGCCCACTGCCTTCGGTCGTTCAACTGCCTATCTTTTATGGAGCTGGCTTTGGTTTCAAAAACGCTGGAAGATACGGTCGCCAGCGACCCGTGGGCACGCCTAGTAGTTACCAGTTTGTGAGGGAATGGGTCTGGGTTTTTGGTTGACTGATGGGCGCATGGGTGACACTTCTGGCGCCCTGTGTCAGATGTAGCCACAGAATTCGCTCCTGGTTCTTGGCTAGCGACAACGGACCCGTTTGTAGTCACGTGTTTAGTGGTAGCATGTGTGTTCCAGTGTGCCGGTATCGCTTGCTCCAAAGAGTCGCCTCCATGCGATATCGCTTGGACCGGGATGGAAGCCGCCAGCGGTGAAATTTGGTTTTTGCCCGGCTTCTAATTGGAGTTGTCCGTGTAGCTAGGTGCTTGGTTTTATCCTTACTCATAGCACAGCTGTTAAGCCTTGGGATCTGATCCCAACTACGGTTGAATCAGAAGGGGAACATTTACTAAGTCTAGATTTCTCGACCATCTTGCTAGGTTTTCGTGTTTGTATGCCAACTTCTCAGCAACCAGCAGGTGAAACAGCCGTAAAATTAATGTAGAACCAAAAGGAGCTTGTTTACTTGTTTAGTTCTTTCCTTTTTCTTGCATCTGATAATATTTTCTGCATCCAGAACACACAATACTAGTTTGAACCACTTTTTGCAGCCACAAATGCCATTCGACTATGTCTCACTAGGCTTCGTTATGCGTCAGACTTGGTTTTGTGTCATGTTTCTAATTCTGTTTAGATCGAGTAGGGCAGATGTCTACAGACCCGAAAAAGCACATGCACAACGAATTTACTAATCGCGCGCAATAGTTGGACCGAGTCAGCTGACGTTGGAGAAGGTGCCGATGTGATCCACATGGATTTCTCAAAGGCTTTAGATCGTCTAGACTAGGCATTCTCAATCTTTATTCAGCCATGGTCCCCATTTGAACCATTTCATTTCTTATGACCCTCATGCTTAATCAGTAGAATTTCAACAACCCACAGTGCCTGTCAGACGCAAGTTGGTTATTTCCAGTGGTCATCAGAAATCATGGGATTCAAACGAAGATAAAGATATAGTAAAGCAATACACAACACAACAATGTCCGTGGTTTCGTCAGAGGGCGAGGTACTACCCAGCTGCCAAGCCGAAGTAGAATGTTGACTTAGGGGTCTGATGAGGAATCATTGAAATCCATTGCTCACTAGTTGGTCTTTCGTTTCCGAGACTTGAATGGGAATTTTCAGGTTACTTGAAACATGACAACCTCCATATCTGCACAGACAGATTAAGCGATCGGAAACCATGGAACACAAAAGAAGGTACATTAGTAGTAAAAGAAAACACAGCACAACACATCAAAGTTCATGGTTTCTTCAGAAGGCGAGTTAATATCCGGTTGCCCAAGCCGAAGTAAAGTGTTGACTTTGGGGATACCACCCCGAGCCTTCGTCCGAATGGCCTGCCTGCAAGGCAGCGGAGCGAATTCAGGGAATCATACCCATTGGGAGCCGGTGACTGATTGCTCAGTTCATACGCCTTTCGTTTGTTCCTTTGTCAAACAGGGGCCCAATGCTCCCCAGAAGTACAGCATAAGGTTGCTGGAATACAATGCTTCGCCAGGATGAAGCAAGGGGCGGTGACTTTATTTAGTGGCGAGTCACGTCCGCCACGTCACAGTGTTGTTAAACGGACATATGTGGCTTTTTATAGGGAGAACGCTTGCCAGGCGAAAACCCACCACGTCCTGGAACACTGCCGCCGAACCATTTGCTGGAACGGGAAAATCCCGAACCACTGAGCTGGCACCCCGAGAAGATTGTTCGGAAAGCCAGCAGTACCATTTGTCATGATGGCTAAACTCTTAATGTTGGCATCACTGGTCTTTCCTTATAAACCCTATTGTTTTTTTTAAACTTTCACAGCCTCAAGATAGCATTCTTTGTGCGGCAACATCAAGTCACTTATCTGTAATCACCCAAAACTCATAAGTAAAATTTAAAGTTGTATCTATTTATGGCCGGCTTTTAACTGCATATGATGTATTAGGAGATGTAGTTACTTCGTAACAATATATTTGTCGAGATACAGGGTGGCGCACGAAATTTCATATCATTTGTCTTGCTCGTTACTCATGTAGTACCATAGATGTAAGGTTGAAAACCCGAATTCGTATAGTATAGGTAGAAATTCGGCGGCTTAAGTTTGGTAAGCTCGCCGCTTGGTGAGGGGGCAACCTTGTCGTCTGTACGGCAGTAACATGTAAGTGGATAGTGAGCAGCGCTATATCACATCTAGTAACTTATTCACGATGGTCGTTGCCGTCCTCCGTAGCTCAGTGATCTCAACCACGGACTGGCAACAGTCGAGTTGCGGGTTCGAGCCCTACCAAGGGTCCGATGGAATGCGCACTGCTGATGATTCCCGAAAGGATGAAACGCGCGTACAGTGCTCTTCCGGACGTGTGGCGGCTGTCTGAGTGAGTCCAGATGTGACGAATTTCTACCTATACCATTCAACTCCCCCTACTATTCCAATGGTTGCGCGATCGAGGCCTGCTGACACCTGATGAGATGAAATTACATCGAAACGCGTCGTGGTTGTGCAGTGTTTTCAGGTGGGCAACACCCAATTTCCATATACTTTGAATACGATCCCAGTGATCGCAGTGACTAAGGTTCATTTCAACGTGAATCACATTCCATTACATTGAGATTGCGTGTCGCAATCCAATCACACAACGTGTAGTCCAAACTTGACCCTCCAATTCCCCCTACTATTCTTCTGTATTCGTGTAGTTGGCTTTATAGAAAATACGGCAGATGTCACGAGAAGTTAGTACGGAAGAATTTCTTAGCGCCAAACACAATTTTCATGAGCACCTTAGGTGTTGCACCGAAGGTGAACACGGATCGATATAAGGACATGTTGGAAAATAGATTTATTCAAGAACTCTTGACAACAAGTCTCACATTACCAACTCAATGCTTCATGCAAGATGAAGTTCGCACCACACTGCAAATATTGTTTTTGTTTACCTGTATGATATGTCTGTTGGGCGGGTAATGTCACGTCGGTTTCCTGAGCGTCACCAAGGTGGGAAACAGTGGCCCGCGTATTAACCTGACATCAATACATGTGATTGCTTCTTGTGGGGCTATTTGAAAGATAATGTCTTCGCAAGGAAGCCTGCAAGTGCAGCTCAGTTTAGGACTCTCATCATACAGTTGTACCGTCTAATTTCGGAAGGATTGCAAGAAGGTTGTGACAAATGTAATGGTTCGCTTACCAAAGCTTAGGAAACAAAATTGAAACTGGAACTGCAGTCTAGTGTTTTTCCGGGCATGTGGACGACTTTTTGATTTGGTAACTGCTGCGATGAACCTCACTTTATTACATCAACATCCCCTACTCATGAGTACCTCATACTATAATAAATGTGAATAATGAATCTTTTAAGCGATCTCCCACGTTCTTAGCCAGTAGGTGCTCTCAGTGAATCACACAACGGATCGTATGAACAGAAAGGAGAGCACTTTTTAGATAGGCGATGAACTCTCTATCCTCCGACCATTACGGTAGTAGTATCACTTACTGAACTTGCAACTTTGTTTTGCATTGTAGTGGATTTTTCAGGCAGATAGTCATCGACCACCTCGAATACAGACTGGCGCTTTGTATGAGTTTTTTTAATATCCTGGCAAGCAGCTTCACTTCAATTAATTCATTATCATCGAAGACTCGGACATATGTCGCGAGAAGAGTGTCGCTGTTTTCAGATAAAGTACATTTATTTTCTCACAAGGAAAATTTTGTGGACTGTAATAAGGCAACTAAGGTACTTTCTATGTCCTGAGCCATCCCATCTATTCGCCTAGATACAGCTGGGTTGCTGAGCAGAATGGGGTAAATTGTTTCTTGTGGATTCGTATACATCAGGTTAGCTAGTATGGTTGATAATAAAAGCAAGAAAATATTTTATCCAACATTATATGGATTGCAATTCTTGGCAATCAGTTAGCTAATTTTATGAGACGCCGTAAGTCCATTCGCCATTTTTGCCGTCAGCAACTATTGTCTTGGAAGTTGGTATGCTTTCGAAGCCATCGTGCAGCCTTCAAAAAAGTCAGCAGAATTTCCGCTTTTGCCCTTATCGACACTTTCCAAATGAGTTTTCAGTTTATATGGTCGCATAATTCACTTGTAAGAGTGTCTTGGCAAATTAGACACATAGATAGAGTGGGATTTTGAAGTGATGCGATAAATCCAGATGAAAGGTATTTTACAGAGTACTGCCGACACTACTTTGCTGAGGAGCGCATATCTGAAATTTGCCATTGTGAGTTGTTAGTATGGTTGGCGGTATCCGGTTTCGGATTTGTCTGTCACTGTGACCAGCCACAGGACGCCTGCGCCTACAGAGGGACCATGGGTGACTTGCGCTGCACCACCCACAGCTCCAAACACACACCCCATATCCAGTGTAAACCCGAAGGAATAAGACCGGGAGGCATGTGGATGGGAGCCACGTTTCATCAACGGAGCCGGCCCACACTCCTTCACAGGCAAACACAAGCACGCTGTATTTGGAGAATCAAGCACACACAAGGCGGTGGCTGGACCGTAGTCCGCTCCACACTGAGTGCATGGAACCACACTTTGATCCTAACACGGCCACAAGGACCGTGCACCCCGTCACCTCCAGCAACGACCAACACGCTCCTGGAGTCAGTATAGACGAGGTAGTGGGTAATAGACAGGTAGGCACCCTGTCAAGATGCACATCAAGCGCAGCCACACCGAGGATATCAAGCAAAAGCCAATCACTTTAAACGACAATACGAAATACAATAAATTCGATAATGCATACAGATTTGGTGGCATAATTCTTCGATAAATTACCATATGATGAAAGTTGGTTAGCAACGAATCCGAGATAAGGAAAAATGCCCACAAGTTACTTAAAAATACTACAAAGGCAGCGAAGTTACAGAAGATAAGCGCAATTAGCGTAAGCAATGTGACCAGTTAATAGAAGATTATTCAGGTAGGCAGAACAAACCAAATAAAGTCGGATGAACTTTATCCGCATTAAAATACCTTGTTTTTAGTGCAAGTTGGTTTAGCGCAACTGCGGTGAAGAAGCATCATGAATCCAACGTCAGTCTCAGCATGGGGCATGAGCATGCATCGAAACGTTTCTAAAGTTTGTAAAGTGAAAAACTGCATTAAATTATTTTCCTTTTTATTTCCCTACAGACGAGCGCATAAGCGAAGATACGCCATACTCAATAGCGAGCGGTAAGCAACCTGTTCTCTTGCCTACGCATGATGGACCGTCGGTTTCCGAGCTTGTCATTAATCAAGTCGATGGATGCGGTTTCGATCTTGGTGATTGCACAGTTTCCCACGATTATTAATCATCATTATATCATTAGATACGTTGGCTGTTGTGCCCCAATACAAAAAAAGAAAAAGAAATACATGAAACAGGCATGCCGGCTGAGTCACCAGTAAAGAATGGGCATCGTTGCGGAGAGCGAATAGCCGACTATTGTGTCGCAAAATAGTCAAATTATCCCCAATAATTGAGATCGTGGTTGGAGTGGGAGGTTAAGCGGGAGGGTAAGGGACAAAGAAACTCACAACACAAACGCCATTAAGGTCGGTTTCCACCCATGTCAGCAAGTGCATCCAGCCAAATGTGTTCATACTATTTCGGATCCCAACCAGGGAGCCTAGAAGCTCCAAATGAGGCCAACTTGGAAGTAAGCGCCTTCATTCCTCTTGACCAGGTCATCGCTCGGTCGTCCTCCACTTCTTCTATCCACATACCCGGCGCGCAAACAACGCATGTCGCGGGAGCCGGTGGGATGGCATGCGCGACATGTGGCCGAGCCATCGAAGCCTGGTACGCCAAAGAAAGTTGCTGAGTGGTTTAATTCCTTTTTCATTGCCGTAAACAAGGCGTCGAACACGCTCGTTGCTTACTCGGTGTTCCCACGAGATATGAGCCAAACTGCGAAGGCACCGGTGGTCGAACGTAACTAGCCACGATTAGTGAACATCACATGGAATCGATGCTCGAATGTCAGCCGATGGCGGGTCGAAAGAATTATGGGCTTATCATGTAAACCAGAGGTTTTCGGTTCGAATGCGCGCGAACATGCGGGCGGTTTCGCGCATGGCTGTGAAGTATCGGCAAGTTGTTCTGGCGTACTGCTGATGGCTCTGACTCGAGTAATACTACCAAGTGTAGTGGATCGCAAGGTAGCGTGAACACTGCAGCAAATTTCATCGAAGCCACATCGACCTTTTTGGGAAAAGGGGAATGATCCTGTAGAACAGTAACCTTCAGCACGCAGGCAAGTGTTGAAGTGTATCACTCGGAACTGATACTTCGCAAATCGCATCAGCCGCCCGTAACTTATGATTGCGGTGTGCAAAAGGCGCGACAACCAAAGCCAACCTAGGGTGTATCTACACGCGATTACATTTAACGTTCAATTATGGGGAAAGTTCGTATTGCTACATGTTGCCAAGACGCGTGTCGGCTAATGTGACCGGATGTTTCTAAATTGTAATGGGTTTTATGAATTGTGTTCATCAAGAACAGTGGATAACACTATCTTAGAGCCGAACTCGGCAGTCGATGGAAGTGTCAAAGAAACCGCCACTACTCTGAGGGCAATGTCGTGGGCGTGCGTGACATGGGCGTCGTCAGAGCGACCTTTCCCAAATTCTGCACAATGTTCCGCGGACCTTCGTTAAAGAATTTCCATGACTAACTTAGTGAGCATCATTGCAGATGGGGAGCGAAACTTTCTGTTAGTTAACCGACTTCTAGTGTAGCGGCATCTGGTAGTTGGAGCGAATGGTACTGATTCGGGACCAGCGAACGGGAGGCTATTTAAGAGCCACCCACGTTAGTTAACCACACTTGCATAGGCCAAGAGGCTACGCAGAAGTGTCGAACTTAAGTATGAGCGGTGCTCAACCTGGTACCAAATATGGCAGGTTGTATGTTGCACCGAGTTTAAGCAGGTGGCAGAAGGCTCGACAACGAGAACCAGCCAGGGGTAATCGATAACAAATGTATGTACGGTATACATGAACCCATGGTTCAAGGATAAAAGGGTTTTGATCGCTGTCTCAGAGAGCATCTACTGGGTACGTGGACCGTCTTCCAGTAGAGAGTAAGTGTACACAGAGGTGTAGCGAGACGGGGCAGAATGTCACAAGTGATCTACCGGTTTTCAAGGGAAAACTTTTAGTCTGAAAATCTCAGTTAAACAAGAGTCAATGTTAGCGAACATGTGTTTTCAATAATTCTTCTTCAAGCTAGTACAATTATATGCCAGCTACATCAATTAGACAGACCTTGGAGGTCGTTAAAACGGGGCAAAATATATTTAGAAGAGGTCAGCTATCACCGCTAATCAGGTCGACGTCGGATCCTTCATGAAATCCAACTGAGTAAAATCCCTACTCGAGCGGGCCAGCGCAGCTGTGAGGCCTGAACAAATCGCTTCTGAGTGCACAGGTTCGATTCGTTCGACCGAATTGCGAGAGCATCAGCGGCTTGCAGCAACCGTCTAAGCATATCCCTCAATCTATTATCCGGGGTCTTGTAGATAGTTTGGAATGCTTCGGCTGGTCTAGGGTTGCGTAATGTGTCGACAAGGTGGAGAGCTATGGCTGTTACATACCACTGTGCATTCAGTCACTAACCATGCCGGACGGTGTTCTTCCCCTGTCTCGGATAGACACCTGGCTGTACGACCAATATATCCTGCTCCACGGGAACAGGTAAAGGGATAGATGCACATGGTGTTGTCGTGGACAGATCTACTATTCTTGGACTGAGCTTCAACATCAGTGTGCAGGTAAACTAAGTATGTAATTTTTCTGCTAGGTACGTCCATCTGAGCTCCTGTGATAAACGGCGATTAAAATTTCGGCAGTGATTTCTTTGTAAGGGGTTGCATGCACATTGTTCTTTTGTTGGCCCTTAAGACTACCAGTGTGTTTATCCTCTTCTCCATGTGAACTTTTATGAAGTGGTCTAAATAACCATTTTCCCGCAACATGGAGCAAATTCGCTGCAGGTCACCTGGTAGTGTCTCAGCGAGTCAACCTCACCTTCTTCCTCAACTACAACGAGAAACAGCTGTTATGCTAACCATCCACTTGGTGATTCGATCAAATGAGGTTAAATGAACTTATCAAAAGATTTCATACCTGTATTACATTGATGGCAATGGTTACCAACTTGTAGTGCTCCTTCTTTTCGATCTGACTGGTATAGCCAAAATAGCATTTTGACATGTGTAGGTACTTTCGTATCAGGTCATGACCTACAAAACCCTCACTTTCGAAACGAACCCTCAAGTGAGGATACTTCAACAGTAAAACGAGAGAAGTGTTCCGCTAACCGCTCGTACTCTTCTGGACTGTGCTTCGAAAATGGCAACCAATTTGCCTGAATGCTTCAGATACGGTCAAAGATCGGATGATTCTGCGCCACATTCAATGTACAGACCATCCCTGATAGGTGTTCCAAAGTACAGATGAACCAGCGAATTCTGAGGTCAGATAGTAACAGGTGTCAACGATTCCAATTTCATCCATAGCCACCGATCCTCCTTTCATGAAACGGAATAAGTTAACACGGGAGTCCCCGATTCACAAGACAAAGAAATCGGACAAATTGTGCCCTGCTGGTACGGAGCTGATTTCATTATGACAGGAAACATTGTAGTGGTTCCATCGTGTGATGCCTGGTGAAATAAAGGAATACCTTTAATTTACGGATGGCATGTTGGATCATTTTGGCTATTCGCATTTATCTGCTTAGAAAGTGTTCAACAACTGGGCGATGCGTGTTCGAACTGGTATGGGGGAGGTGTTGTCATCGTGACTCCAAGTCGACCTGAAAAAGCGCACACTGAAAACACGGTGCACTTTTGGTCGCGTTTGTGCTTCGTCCAAAGTGGTATCATTATTATCATCATTATAGGTTACATTCAGATGAGTAACACATCGGCTATTGTGCCGCACTACAAAAAGGTAGGATGCACGGAAAATGTGTATCCTGTAATGTAGACATTACAGGATACAGAATAAAACCATAAACAAGTAATATAATGTTTGGTATCATACTATGCATCTAGTAGGAGTTCGTGAGTTGAAATCGAAGCTATATGGCAAGAGGAGGGACCAAGAAACTCACAGCACAAACGTCACGGAAGTTGGCTTTTCGCCATGTCAGCAAGTGTATCCAACCAAACATGTCAATCGTCTTTGCGACCCAACCATAAAGTTGACAGGCTCCAACCGAAGCCAACTTTGAGGTGAAGGTTTTCATTCATATCCTCCATCCCTTGGCCTCCCCTTAACTTCTTCCATCCATGGTAACAGTGCGCAATTTTACCAACTCTTGAAGAGAATTTGTCAAAGCTGTGTTGTGGGACACGCTGGCTGAAACACGTTTGCATCAGGTCAACATATTAAATGAACAATCCAGAGGGCGTCCTTGATCGCATGTTGTCCAGTCTTGACGGATACTAGGGGGTTTTCCACCACAGATACAGGACTGAAGATGCAACACAACAGCTCATAGTGTAGCGAGAACGACAAGACAGGGGGGTAGACGTTTATTGCACACCGAAAATGGGCACATGAGGGTCTCGCGCGCGCCATCGAATATCGACTAGATTTCCGTCCCACCACGCAACACAGGTACGGATGTTGGAGACGAGCCAGTCCTTTCGCCTCGGGAGCTCTGACTTGGAAGATCCGCCTTCCTGTTTTCGCCTCGATCTCCGCTTCTCTGCACCCGATTTGGATCGGCCAGGAGTCGTTCGAGAGCTCTCGACTTGCTTGTTCTGGGCTGTGTCAATCGGTTCGGCCTCGGTCCTGTGGGCTGCGCTAGCGGCGTATTTGTCTGATTTATTGCGCTGTCCACATATTCCCGCTCCGTAGTTCCGGGCCCAGGCTCGTCGCTAGCCGTCTTTCGCGATCCGCTCTCAGCTAGCTCCGAAGAGCTCCCCAGAGCCATTCTTGGAAGCGGCCCCACTACACCCGCCCCTCCTCCAGGACCTTTCTTCCTCTCGTACCATGGTCGCAGGAGAGCAGCATTCACCCAACGTTTCATTCCTCCGCAGTCGATTAAGAAGTTGCCCGCCTTCTGGTCGATAATGGTGTAGGGGCCTTTCCAGCGTTCCCTGAACTTGCTTGCGCCCGGCCCGTCATGATCCGGCCGATCGTTGTTCCGTAACTTGACCCGTTCTCCAATCCTG